CAAGTTTGCGTCTTCTTCAGTGTGCAGTCGCATGCAAGTCATTTTGGGGTAACCTCAACAATAGGCGACGCATCAGCTTGGCTACTAAGTGGCCTTTTTTTCGATCGGTTTTTCTGTGGACGGTCATAGGCATTAACAAAAGGAACATTTTTCGTAGCGGAAAAAGTATGCCCAGAGTAACGGCCTTTGTCCCCAAGCGTACGATTATTTGTGTAGCCAATCTTCATTCAAAAAGTTCCTTTTTTGAGGTTCAAACTTCTTCCATTCCAGTCATACTACCCACTCTCTGCAAATATCAGGATTCAACATACAGTGTCGTAGAGATTGCAAAGAGGCCGTTGTTTATCTCGAGCTGATAATTGTGTGGTATTGGGTCGCAAGCCGGTAGTATCTGAATTCGTTTATTTTATCAGTCTGCTGTTGCTAGAATACTTTCTAGTTCATTCTGAAGTCTGGCAACCTTCATATTTTGCACGTCTTGTTGGACGCGTTCGTTAGACTGGCTGTGCAGTATCGATCGACGCCGACTATCCGGATGAATTTCGTCCAATGGGAAACAAACTGTTCACGTGAAAACCTGTTACCTAAACGCCCAATTAAACGTGCGCTTAAACGTGAACACGTTCGTGCAACCTATTTAGAGTGCCTCGTCAGAAAATTTTTGAGAACAGAAAGAGAGTGTCAATCGCGTTCTATGTAGACAGTTTTAGCTGAGAATGGAAACTAATGTTACCCTCACCTCAAGCCAGTCCGCCCCGTGTTTGGCCTGGGATTTTTCAACCCGTTTTCTCATGGAGGATGTCATCAAACGGAAAACTAAAAATACCTCGAGACCGCTTTCCCCCAAGCACGAGGTGAATTCACGATTTCCCGGCGCTGATCTAGCCTGCAAGGGGAATCTTTTACGGTCACCATCACAGTGCAATACCCTCGCCTTTCTAACTGACGACCCTGGAGGCAAAGTTCATTCCAGAACTGTCAGCGCATCGATGCATGCCTCTTGTCAATTTTCGGCAGAGAGTGAGCAGCTTGAGAAGGAGATAATTAACTTAACGCATCACCGAGGGGATATTCCTTCGCCTCTGTCTGATTGCCTATCGTTTTCACTACCACCGAAGGCGCGTAGTCTTCAAGTCTGCTCCGGCCAGGAACGAGTCACTGCCGCCTTATTTGACCCAAAAGAACCCGAAAATTCTCCCCCGAGCGATTCCCCTTCCGAATGTGTTTCTTATCCCACCTGCGAGTGCACGGACAGTTCATCGGAGACGACCTTACTCCCGTCTTCAGATGACTGCTCATTGGCCACTTTCATTCAGCCGGAAACCTCACCCTCCAGTCTGTCATTGTCCTCATCCGAAACCCCATCAAGCATCTCACCAACTAGCGATTTATCTCTTTTCTCCCTGAGCCTTCATGTTTGTAGCACGAAGGACGCTGTTACTCAGTGCGGCGGTGATACCGAGACTGCCTTATTACCGAATGGCCTAACTGAACCCCGTCCCAGGGCCGTTTCTGTAGATCCAATTAGGACAAAAGCCCCCATTGATGTGGAGGAGCCAAAGAGCAAAGAGTCAATCAAACAGAAGGCAGATGAAGTTCAAAAGATTGAAAGAAAAGTTAAAGGGAAAAACCCCTGGGCAGGTCACCAATCTGGCTTCAGCTGTGATAGGGCACGTTCACTCAAGACACAAACAGCAGGCAGAACGGAGCTTCGGTGTGTCCATCGCCTGACGCCTCGGCCACTCCCAGGCTTTTTACAGAATAACAGGTCACAAAAGAAGGAATTTTCGTCTGTATCAAGACCAAAAATGCGAGCAGCACAATTCCGACAGCTTTTGCTTTTTCGTTCTAACCCCAATGTCACTCGACGCTTCATCATCCGAGACAACCAGTGTCTGCAGCTGTTGGAAGGACTTGCCCGCGACGGCTACTGTAAGGATCGTCGTCTGTTTTGTACCCTTAATAACTATGCGGGCGCCAGGGCTGAACTGGTGGCCGCAAAACCCGCCTATTCTTACGGACGGCTCACTTACTTTCTTTACCTGCATGCTCGCACATGGGACCAAATGCGGTGGATTGTTCGTGACATTGATCGCTACTATCCGCAGTGGTGTCTTCCTGCCCAGTTAACCCAATAGATTTTGTTATTGCAGAATGTATTGTGCGTCTGTGCGTATGTGTGTGGACTTGCATGTTTGCAAATACAAACAACTTTTTACTTAGGGACTGGGTAACGTGATGTTTGCAGCTTGTGTATTCTGGTTTGCTTTGGGCATTGCTCTCGACATTCCCAACCAGAAGTCGCTCGGTATGGACGACGTGAAGCTCGCCTCGGCTGCTGATGCATTGAAGGGCTGGTCAAAGGTTGTCAACTGAGAAGAAATAGATGCGATCGACGGGACGAAAACTATTCGTCGAAAGTTTCGGATTCTGTCGCGGGTCCATCACAGAAGCAATTATAGAAACGGATTTTCCTTCTCCTACCGTTTAATGCAAAAGCGAGCGGCGACCACCGGGATCAACAACGGTTCTTCCAAAAACAGCCGAAAATCTCTTCTGCTACACCATAAAAGTAGGTCAAAAAATGGCGTCGCATTTTGTCCACTGTATACACTAAAGGCACTTGAAGTCTACAAATGTTTTACAGAAACCGAAAGTTAAGCTATTAAGTGCCGGCACTTGGTAGAGAAGGAACAAAAGAGGAATGACACATGTCTGACAAGCTTACAAATGGGAAGAAAGAAACGTATTAGTAGACGCTGCTAGTTCTGTTGTCTAAAAAGGAGTGAGAGTAGCAAAGCCTGAGGGTAATCCACATTGCCTGAACATCCTTCTGTTGCAGGAGCTGTTTTGCCTCATCAAGTTGCTTGCGGTAGTTGTCATTTGTGGCATCCAGTGCTCGAATCTGTTCCCTGCTGTTAGCCAGTTTGCTTTGCAGGCTTTGTTTGGTCGCGAGAAGGTCTAGATATGAAGGCAGTTTAAGGAGGTCACATGAAGGGCTTAACGCAACCTGAGCTTCCTGAGCTTTGTACTTTCGTTTGTATTGGCAGCCTATCAATCGCACTGGTAGACGGTACGCGCCAAAGCAACCTGTTCTGAAATTCTATAAAAAAGAGAAATGTAACTGGCCTTAGCGGATGTAAGAGGACTGTTGGTACTGCTTCTATTTCAACACTTCAAATGAAAAGGATATTCTGCTTGCCTGGTGGAATATGACGTTTGATTTCGCCTTGCCGTTTCGATTTTGTGAGCGGTCGCGTGATGACGAACAGTAATAATCGAGAAGTTTTAAGAACAACGAGTGCGGAGGCTGGAGTGAACATTTTTGGTGTAGTTGCCGTTGTCAACTATTCGTATCCCAACCTGACCTTGAGAAGTCCCTACTTGTTAACCGCCGACTGAAGTGCCGATATTCGTGTTTTCATAAAAAAACTTGAGTTTTTTTGGGTCCAGGCCTGTAATTTGGGCAGGGGTAGATGAGGATGGTAGGCACTTGATTGCCCACCATATGATTGAGACAGCTATGGGGTGAGAGCTTCTATACGAGCAGTCATAAGATCACTCTTGGCTGTTTGGACCCGTTGGATTTGTTACACGGCACGGTTCGAGTCACTGCTGACTCTCCCAACTCCGCTGCCATTCTGCTTCGGTCTCCTTTGTAGTTTAAAGCTTTTTAGCTCTAGTCACTTTTGTAGCTACCTGCTCGGGCAACGGACCCCCCTCATCAGAAGTTGTTATTATAGCTGGTCTCTTTGGTAGGCCTCTAGATTAACGACATAATGTCCAGCTATCGTCTTATGAGTCACTATTTGGGAAAACCGGGCTCTTCTTTTTTAGTCCCACTGTCTCGTGGTGGTGGCCATCGCTCCCAGTAAGACTGCAAAGTTTATAACAAGTGACAATAGGTCCTCCAGTTGCATCATATAGCACCGCAGTCTATGAACGCGGTGCACGCCGAGGG